TTAGTATTACTATCATTGAAAACAAAGTCTCATTTATTCCTTTTCAGCCTTTTACTGTCTAGCACAGACCCTTATAAATAGTAAGTGCCCAATTGAGGATGGGTTAATAGAAGGATACCGTTAGAATTAATTCTTCCCATTGGTCAAGGCAGAAGCCGATTTGGCTGCCTGGTTTAAATTCTCTTTTAATATTTTATGTTGGACTTTATAGCTCTAAATTTTAATTTCTAATATAGTTTACACTTAAAGTCTACATTCTTACTTGGGGTTCTATTCTCTCTATCTAGAATAAAATATATATGTATTTTTTTCATTTCAGGCCATCAGCAAGCAGTTTATTGTCCCATGTATTCTTTAAACAGGTAAGGTAATTTGTCTTCTATTGTCTAAATGCTTTTAAATACATTTTTAAAAATCATTTACTTATGTTGGCTTAATAAAAACCCTCTGAGTAACACGATTCTCAATACATCTACTCATTTATCGAGTGTCTCATTTTCTGATATTTTACATCATTGAAAAAAAATATTTTGTGTGTGAATTAATGACCTACCTCTGGCAGTAACAAATTCCAGTGTGTGAAGAAAGAGTCACGAAGCTGGCTATGGTGCATAAGGTTATGTGTTTTGATTTGATATGGTCAACCTCCTTTTTCTCGTCATGCTGATTTTTCACACAATTGCCTGGTCTTTGGAACCTGTGTCAATAAACAGGGCAAAGGTATAATAACTTTTGTATAAAATAAGTTACAAGCAAAACTTTTTTAGTAGTTCAATTATAGGCATTCTAACAGATTTCCCTTCTGCAAAACAAGCTGGATAAAACAGACTCAAGTGTCATCATGTATTACTCCAGTCTCACTATGTTTTGATTCATTATAGAGACATTTGATTTACGAGTCAGAAATGATGAAAGGACAAAAATAGTTCTGATAAAAATCACTTTACTTGATTCTTAACCTCTTCCTGTTTTTAGATGACAAAAGCATTTTTAGGAGACATGCCCCCAAACAATTTTAAACACTGTAAATATGATTTTCTTGAAACACGATTTATTACTTTAAAAATATTAATGCATTTACTATATGTCCAATACTCTTATTTTCATTTCTTTAACAGATGAAAGGACAAAGCCAAGATTCGATACTTTCACTGTTGCCTCCTGCTTACAACAAGCCATCAATAACAGTGCCTCCCGTGTTCCCGGGGACCGAACCAGAGTATACTTTTCCTGAAGAGAAAGACTCAAACTGGGAATTCTAGGGCTGCCAAATCGTTTTCTGTCCTACAGACTTGACCCTTTGCCCTTGCTGCTTTGTCTTCTGTATTGCTAGGTCCACATACCAGAATTATACTTGAAAGTTCAGTTCGTGCACTGGAGAATCTATCATTTTGAAGCACTCTGTCTGAAGGGACAGGAGCTTATGGCCCTGAGGTCAGCTCAGTGCTTTCACAACTCCAGGGACGCTTCAGAACTGTTCATTTGGTGTCTTCTAGAAATGTTTTGTTGTTTGTTTCTTCCCAAGCTGTGACTAACTCTTCTTCTGATTCTTCAATGTAATGTTTGAGCCACTTAATTTTGCTGCCTTCAGGGGAATGAGTCCCTCAGAGGCCTGTGCTTCCAAATACACCTTTTCCTTGCAGGTTCTCCTGCCTTTTTGATCAGCTACTGTGCATCAGCAGGCTAGTTGACCTTGACACCAACTCCTTCTTGGTAGCAGGGGAATGTTTCTCCTTCCCATTTCTTGTATTAATACTTAGGGTAGCATCAAACTGAGCCTCACTCACATTAAATCATTCACTTGAAATACACAGAGAAGTTACCATTTGCTTTTTTTAAAAGGGACTAGCTAAAAGTAACACTTTTCTATGGACATTATAAATCCTAAACTTATGCACCCTGGGGGAGCTCAATAAAGATTTATTGAATGAAGTTTCTGTTTCTATTTATTTTACTTTGTGATTCGATAAAGCTCACGATTCTATTTTGTATCGCCAAGAAAAGTCCTTATCAAACACATTTGTTGACAAAACTTAATGAATTGTAAATAAATGGGTATCTGGAGATAAGAGGTTTATGGCCAATCTATGGTTGCTATTACTGCATTAAGGGGGTTATCACATATAAGGACTTGGAGCACCTAATTTACCTCATTAGCAAAACACAGATGTTATAGCTCAAAGAATGTAAATTTGCAGCCACAGTAAATTCTGGCCTACCTCAGTTAACATTTTCTTACAAAATTATTTAACACTACTTTAACAGTTATTTTTAAATGATGGTCTTAAAACTAATGAGATAATATACCTATTAATAGGTAATTTGAAATACAATCTTCATTTCTATTTATTGACCATTTGAATATCATTTTCTGTGATCTAGCTGTTCAGTCCTATCTTCAATTATCTATTGGGGTCCTTTTTAAAAATGACTTCTAAATATAGTCTAAATACATGCACTTTATTGACAATATAGATGGCAAATATCTCAATTTCTTTTGATCAATAAAAATTATTTTAATGCAGCAAAATACCCATTTTTTTCTGTCATACTTCTTTCTTAGTTTTCTTAAGAAATGGAACATGGTTTCAAAAATATTTAATATTGAATTGTGTACTAGGACCTTTATATTTAGCCTTTTATATTTAAGTCTACAATCACCTGGGGTTGATTGGTTGGTTGATTGTGTATGTGTGTGTGACAGAAGTCAACTTTTACATTTTCTACATTGCTATGTTGCTGCCGTTAACCAGTATTTATTGAAGAGGCCATCTTGCACCTACTGTTTTAAGTGCCACCTTTATCATAGCCCAGATACTCATATATACATAGGCTTGTTTCTGGACTCGGCTCTGTTCTGTAATTGTGGGTGTTCTTCAGTTTTTTGAGTGGCACACTATCACCACTATTGTAGCTTTATTATAAGTATTTCTATCGGTCAGTGGGAATGTCTCTACTTTCATTTTTTAATTTCAGTTATTTTCATCTTTTCTATTTTTTTCTTTGTCAGTGTAGCTAAATGTTTGTTAATTTATTGATCTTTTCTAAGAGTCAACTTCTGGTTTTATCGAATCTCTTGGATTTTTGGTGGTGATTTTTTGTTTTTGTCTTATTTTGGTGATTCCTGCCCTGATCTCTATTATTTCTTCTTTCTAGTACCTGTAGACTTGGTTTCTCTTTATCTGGTTTCTCAAGTTGCACAGTTAGGCTGTTGCTTTCAGATCTTTTTTTTTAATCAATGTAGGCATTTACTACTAAAAATTTCCATCTAAACACTACCTCTACTACATCCCATAGATTTTTCTTTTTCCTTTGTTTTAAAATCATTTTACTGGGGACTCTTACAGCTCTTATAACAATCCCTACATCAATTTTATCAAGCACATTTGTACATATGTTGCTGTGTTAGTCTGGGTAGACTGAGAAACAAATTCATAGACACTCATGTTTATAGGAAAGAGCTTTATATAAAGAGTAATTGTATATTAAGAAAACATCCCAGCCTAGTCCAGATTCAACTCCATCAGACCAATATTAGCCCATATGTCCAGTACCAATTTGTAAATTCCTCTTCAGACTCATACAACACATGCAACGATGCTGAATGCAGGAAGATCACAGCCAAGTGGGTGGAAAGTCTTGTGGATCCAGTGGTGATGAAAGCATCTCGGCGCTGGTGTGGGTCTCCACGTGGCTCCTCCAGCTCCAAGGGTCTGGCTACCATCAGCATAGCTCCATGTGGCTTGTCAACAGGAATGTCTTGCAGAGAGTGTGTGTGTGTCCTGCCTCCAGTGAGCTATTTATCTCCTTAGCAGTTCCAAATGAGGAAATCAAGCTGCGACCTGATTGGCATGCTAAACTCCACCCCTTCACACTTAATAGTCTCAAACTGACAACAGATTATGTAACTACCACAGTTGCCATTATCATTTTCAAAACATTTTCTTTCTACTTCAGCCCTTGGTATCAGCTCCTCATTCTGCCCACCCTTCTACCCTCGTGAACCCGTAATAAATTATAAATTGTTATTTTCTTATCTTACACCATCCACTGTCTCCCTTCACCCATGTTTCTGTTGTTCCTTCGCCTGGAGGGGAGGTGTGTGTGCAGGGGGTTATATGCTATTCATTGTGATTGATATCCCCTTTCTCCCCTCATCTCCTCCCTACACTCATGGTATCGCTACTCCCATTATTGTTCCTAAGGGGTTTATCTGACCTGGATTCTGTGTGTTAAGAGCTCTTATCTGTACCAGTGTATATGCTCTGGTCTAGCCGGATTTATAAGGTAGAACTGGGGTCATGATAGTGGGGGGAAGGAAGCATTAAAGAGCTAAAGGAATTTTGTTTCTTTGGTGCTACACTGCACCCTGGCTGGCTCGTACCTTCCTGTGATCCTTCTGTGATGGGATGTCCAATTGTCTACAGATGGGCTTTGGGTCTCCACTCCAACCCCCCCTTGTTCACACTGATATGATTGTTTTGGGTCTTCTGATGCCTGATACCTGATCCCGTCAACACCTCGTGATCACACAGACTAGCATGCTTCTTCCATGTGGGCTTTGTTGCTTCCCTGCTAGATGGCCACTTGTTTAACTTCAAGGCTTTGAGACCCCAGAAACAATATCTTGTAATAGCCAAGCACCATTAATTTTCTTCACCACATTTGCTTATGCACTCATTTTGTCTTCAGCAATCTTATTGGGATGGTAAGCATCACAGAATGCCAGGTTATTGGAACACACTGTTCTTGTGTTGAGGGAAGACTTGAGCAGAGGCCCATATCCGTCTGCTACCTTAATATTTAACATATAAATATATGTACATAGGCCTATATCCCTATCGTTATATATTATTTACATATATACATGCCTGTTTATACCTCTATAAATGTCTTTTGTCTCCTACTTCTTTCCTCTTTTTCCTTTTCCTTTCCTCCTATCCCACTATCATGTTCAACCTTCATTCAGCTCTCAGTAATTCCTCTCACCTACATTACACTTAATCAAGCCTGACGAGGCATTCTATGTCCTCCTCACCATCAATTTTAGATCACTTGTTTTCCCCTTGTCCCTGGGTTTGTTGGCTACCCCCTTACTTTCCCCAACCTCCCCCTCTCCCATTTCCCCTCAAACTCTTGATCCTATTGTTTTCACCTTGGGATTATTTATCCCACCTATTTTATATAGACATGAGAAAGAAAAAGCCTATAACTAGTTCCAGGTCTGTCTGCTGACCCTTATGGATATTTTTCCCTTGAGTCTGATGAGGTACCCAGCCTTGCCCCCCCAACATCTGAAATCTATTTTGGGGATTCCTCAGGAACTTTGTTGCTTTGCTCCCCTTGCTGCTGTGTTACACTCCCTTTGTGTTATGCCCCAGGGTGTGTGGGGGTGGGGTGGGGATGGGAGTGGTGTCAGACTGGGCACAATTACCACACTGTGTCTCCAGTACTGTCCTCTGTAGTGCTATGAGTCAGTGAGGCGACATCATGACTCATGGTGGGGCCAGCCCTATAGTCCTCTCTGTGCATTGGCTGCTCTAAGAAGGAATGTCGTCCTCGGGGCTTGGTAGACCAGGATGTGGTCTTCTCTTTCTCTCTCTCTCCCCCTCTTAGTGTGCTCTGTGTGGTCTGGACAAACCTGCTCCTCTCCTTGGGCTGTATCTGCAGTGCTGTCCTCTGTAGTGCATTCTTCTGGGTAGGGGTGGTGGGGTGGGGGTTGATTGACGTAGCTGGAATTGGCATCCCATAGACTTTTATATGCATTTTTGTTCAATTCTAAACATATATTTCTCTGTTGATGTCTTCCTTCCTCTGTTGGGTTTTTAATAACGAATTGTTTAATTTCCACAAATTTGTGTTTCCCTTCTACAATTAACTTCTAGTTTCATTCCCTTGTGGTTTAAGGAGAAACTTTGTATGATTTCAGTTTTGTTTATTAAGGCTTGTTTTGTAACCTAGTATATGATCTATCTTAATGAATAATCCATGTGTACTAGAGAAAAATGTGTATGGTTCTGTTGTTGGTTGTAGTATTTAATATGTATCTTTTAGATCTAAATGGTTTATACGAGAGGGCTTAAAAGTTATGGAAAATGGAAGTGAAAGAATGGAATTTTTTCCATAAACTTTTTGAAGCCTTCTCGTAGTGTTAAGCCCTCTATTACCTTACTAATATTTATTCTGTCCATTATTAGACATATAGTATGGAAGTCTCCAGTTATTATTGTACACTTTTCTATTACTCTCTTCCATTCTCTTTCAGTGTTTGTTTTATACATCTTGAGGCTCTGATAGTAGGTGCATATATCTAATTGTTATACCTTTGGATTACTTTCTCATATTTCCTCTTTGCCTTTTAAAACAAATTTTGAATTAAAACATATTTGTGAAATAGCAATATGGAATATGGTCATCCCTATACTCTTTTGGTTACTATTTACATGAATTATTCTTTTCTCTCCATCCATTTTGATTTCTGTTTCCTGGAGCCTGAGCTGTGTCTCTTGTAGCCAGCATATAGATGGAATAATAATCTATATGTATACTAATGGAATAATAGCTCCTTATATTGATTGTACTCTTTGTCTTTCGTATTGTAGACTATCTTAACTACAAGTAGTCCTTTTTATTTTACCTAAGTTTTAGAATTTGTCAGCTTACATCAAAGCAATCCTGTTGGAATTTTGATTGGGATTACATTGACTCTATAGTTCAATTTTGGAAAAATTCACTTTTAAATTAATGAGTCTTCCATGAACCTGTACAGAGATCAAGAGACAATCATATGAACAGAGCAAAGGAAAACTACGTGATTTAAAGTAATAAAAGGCGTGCATAGGATGGTATCCTTTCACCAAATCTATATCATCTTCAGACTGAACAAATAATCAGAGCTGCTGGACTATGTGAAGAAGAATGTGGCATCAG